ACCGGCATCTTTATAGTTGTTATCTCATCATAATCAAGTGGGATTGTTACTGGAATTAAATCATTTGGTAATCTGCTCCATTCTGGGTCCTTTTCAAAATTTATTCCACGATCCTCAAGATAAATACTAATAGCGTTTGGACATTTAAACTCAGAATTTTCACTGAGAAATATTCTTTTTAAATCTTTCAATTGTGACATAGCTACAAGATTCAAACATTCTAAACGATTACCAGATAATCTTAAGTCAACAAGACTGGGTAAACTTAAAAATACGCCATCCTCGATAGATTCTATATTATTGTAATTCAAATCCAAATATGTCAAATAATCCAAACCTTTGAACCAGGATTCTTTTACAGTAGTCAAGTGATTATTGTTTAAGCTTAATTGTTGAAGATTATTTAGACGTTGAAAAGCTCTTGGTTCGATATCTATTATGCCACAATGGGAGCAACCTAGAACCCAAAGATCCGAACCGAATCTCGAAAAAGTATTTGCAGTTATTTGACGGATAGGCATATTAGAAATTCGAATTTTTCCTGTCGATATTGGAAGATTATCTAAATCAGAAAGTTGACCACCCATGCAAGAGTATTCAATCATATCCTCGTTCTTCACACGTCTGCACACTCCCTGTACACTCGCACATAGTACAGCACACAATAACAGTTTAACAATAGCACCCATTTTTATTAATTGTTTAAAAAATTCTTAAGATAAATCACAGTTTTGTATAACATAAAATACGTAACATTATTTGTCATTCACAAATTTGAATAATTCACATAATCATCGTAATAGGGATTTTAGTCGAAAATTCTGCAATGTTTAGCGATAAATTAGAATCTAATTTTTCTATAGACTGAATCCTCTCTTGCGTTCTGTCTTTACTTATTTACTAGTATTCCCCCTTCCATCATACTACTCGTCCACCTCCTACTACTGCATCCAATCATGATACAGTACTATGTATTGACAAAAATAGAAAAGCTTGAAAATAGCATGCTGCTCACTTGTTCATGAGATCTAAGATGATCTATAGTATAATTGAAGGAGTGGGATATCATGTTTAAATTTACGAGCGCGTTCCTACTTAAACGCATCTTTTCGATACTTTTGACATTGATATGATTGTATGCATTTGAAAATATTTGATTGAAAAAGTAAACAATTATTTATATAACTTTTTAAATTCTCATTTAATTTTTTTAAATGATATAATCATCCAATTTCACTTAATTGAAATATTAAAAAAATATTAAAAATTGTTAACATATAAAATATACACATAAAATATAAACATTGAAAACATTAAAATCTTGAAAATATATAAACATAAATTTTTGATATATTATTTTAATGTTTTTTTTCTTAATACTTACTTTACGTTTTCTACGTTGTTTTTTCTTATCATTTTCTTGTGTAAATGCTTTGTATTCTGGTACTTCACCTTTCTCTATGAGTCCTTGAATAATATTATGTAACCTTGGTTCATCATCACAGTTAGTGAAAGGAACAGTTTCTAAGATATAATCCATATCTCCTTTGCCTAATCAACAGAAATTATTATTTTAATAAATTAAATTTATTAATTCAATTAGTATATGTATACTTATTATGTTTATTAAATTTACATACTATCCATGTAAGCACGCTTTAAATCATTAATTTCTATATCAGATCCTTTATAATTTTTTTCATAGTTGTTGATATCTTCTACTGAAATTTTTTTGAATAGAGATTTCCAATAATCAGCCCAATTCCTCATCATAATTTCTTCGCTTTCTTCATCATATTGACCAGATTGATCATAAATTTTACGTTTTTCATTATCACTAAGAATAGAATGAATTCGTCCAAGAACTTTAAATTTTTCTGTTGCTTCTGCTTTGATATCTTCCTCAACTCGATCAGGATGTACGAGTAGAGATAATTGATGATATGCTTTTTTTACTGAAAAAAATGTTAAAAACAATTTTTATTTGAAATTTAAATATAATAATAGTTTTTATTTAATAAATATGTTTTATTTCAAAATAAGTTGTATCAAATAGGTTATGTGTACACACCTTGTTTGTCATTAGCAGTTCTTGGAATTTTTAAAACTTCATAAAAATCACGAGCACCGAAGTATTGTTCACAAAGATCTAATAAACTTGTCATGATTTTGATTTTTTATTGAAAATTAATAAGTTTAAATACAAATTATTCCGAAAGACAGAACTACAAGATTATATGTTTTCGCGCTTTTCAGTTAGATTCAAATAGTACTGTGTAAGGTACGACATCTATAATGATGATATATCATCACAGATGAGATTCGTTTACAATATTATGTTGACGAATGAATCCGGAACGGATTCACGTAATGAAATCGGAAACAAAATATTTAGGAAATTTGTATTATTATTTAGTTAGAAACAATGATACGAATATAGACAAGATATAGAATACATAGAATTATCTTATAAAATATGATATTTTATATTCTGAAATTTCATATAAGAAATTTTAATATCTTCAAATTCTATTACGTCTTCTATTACAACTTAAAAGGGAAAATTTAAAAAAAATTTAATTTAAACTTAATATAAAATTAGTATAAATAAAAATATTTTCTTTTGTTACATTCCAATAATCATATATATAATAAATAATAATCATATATATTTAATATGTAAAATGTTTGTAATCATTAAGATTAATTAAAATTTTTTTTCATAAATAATATAATGTATGTTCATATATAATAATTCTTTCGAATTTTGAATTTCTACAATATTTAATAATAAATTATATTTAAAAAAAGTATTCAAATTCAATTTTAACATATAATTCTTAACTTAATATTCTCTTTAAAAAAAGATTAACATTAGAATTATCGATCTATAGTATTTTCTAAATATTTTTTATATAAATAATTATAATTAATTGATTAATGATTATAATTAATTCTTTTTATTTTTTATATAAATGATTATAATTAAAATAATGTCATGAAAATAATTAAGTATATGTAATTACATTTCTTAGTAAATTATAATATTAATTTTATCATTTTCATATTGTCAATAATGTAAAAAAAATGAAATCCGTCATTTTAACGAGTTTGGTTTCTATTCTAATATTAGTATATTTTTTAAGAACAATCAATTAAATTTCACCATAAGAAAATTATATAGAATATAGAATAAGAATAAATTATTAAAATTAATTTAATATAAAATTAAATAAATTTAAAGAATAAAGAAATTGAACTATAAAAAAGAATTTAATAAAAATTAATTTAATCTCAATANATAGCAAGTTAAAATATTTATAATGTTTTTTCATAATTAAAATGTAATTTCATAATTAAAATAGAAATAATAAAAATATTTATTTCCAAAACAATAAAAATTTTTAAGATTTTCGAATCATTCGAAAATGATTCGAATTTGTTACTATATATATATTTATAATATGAATTTAAAATGATTTGAAATATTTATTAATATTTCTATCTATATATTAATATTTCTATCTCATTACTAATTTATATGTCATTACTAATTTCGTTTGTATCTGTAGTTATATATAACTATATATAACTTATTTATGATTTTCTCATAAAATTTAATTTTAACTACTATATTAACTATAATAGTTTTTTATATCTATAGTTTTTCATACTGTACATTTGAGGTACAAACAATAATATAATAGATATCTGTCACTAACATCGATTAACTATTACATTCTAAAATAAATATGAGGTGTAATCGTATTTTCATAAATTTTTTCTCCACGCATTATTTACGACCATCACAATACATGTGATTTATTTTGCTTTTACATTCGAGCTCTTTGATTTTGGCGCTTTTATTCTTATAGTTTCGCAGAATAACTATATTGTTATCATTTGGTGTCTAATTAAATGGTCTATTCCAAGATGTTGGTATTGATTTTCTCTAATTCTGTGTGCTTCGTCTTGTTCTTAAGATATTAAAAAGTATAAAAAAAATTAAAAGAGTAAAAAATATTATGATTGTTGAATATTAAAAAAAGTGTATAATAGTTAGAAAAGATTCTATGCGAAGTGAACACCGTGTCGATAAAAAATGATTTATATAGTTTTTTTAAATGCAGTTAATACCATTTCGTTTTTAAAATTAAAAGTTTAATTTCATTATTAATGAATTGTAATATTAAAATTTAATTTTTTTAATAAAATTGTTTTTTAATATTTCTTATTTATTCTTTTTTCTTTTTCAAAATAAAAATAATGTTTTTATATATATGTCATTATAGAGCGATATATAAGAAAATTCGAATTAGTTACACTTTGAAAGATTACGAAAAACAATCATTTAAAATAAATGCATGATTTTTATATGTTATTTAGCATTATAGAATAATGATCGCTTTTAATACTGGAACTTCAATTGGATCATCGAGATAGATGATAATGGATAGATCATCTTTCTGTTTAATTTATATTGGTATTTATTCTATTATATAGTTGGTAATATAAAAATTCTTAGAACTATATCAAAACATCGGAAGTTAATAGACATTAAAAACATATGATTAAATTTCTATAAAGATGCATTGCATATCACAGTTGTTTTACAATTCATTTGTGATAATACTTTATTTATATTATTATAAAATATTTTATATCTTATAATTTCATACTTTCATTTGATTTTCTTTTCATCCATTATTAATATTATAATCTTATTGTGTGCTAAATCGATAACATTGGAAATGACACAAGAATGATAATGGGGGCTTTTTTGGATTGTGTGACGCAAATTTATATTAAATGATAGTGAATAGATATTAAGTTATTTATCTTATGTCTTATTTATGTGAAAATCTGAGTATAATTACGAATCATATTTTATAATAATTTCAAAATATTAAAATGTATGACAATTTAACCTAATTTAATAATTTTATTGTCACATTTTTATTAACCTAATTATTATTTATTAATTTATTTTTTATTCATAGAATGTTTATTTTTTTTAAAATGTAATTTTTTAAGAAGAATTTATTTTGTTTGTGTATTAGAAAAATTATACTATTAGAAAAATTTTTCTGATTATGAAATTGTATTTTCACTTTTGCTAATTTTATTACTACAATATGAATGACATGGAACAATTAGAAAATACAGATAATGGAAAATGTAGTTCTTATTATGCCTTATTAGTTGCATTTAAAACTATGAATGAACGTTGTCAACAATTAGAAACAAGATTAGCAATTGTTGAAGAAGAGAATATGTGTTTAAGACTTGAATGTGGAAAAGATGAATCTGCAATGATTATAAAAATTAATGATAATAATGAAAAAACTATTGTGCAAAGTTTAAAGGTTTGCATAATATATATGATGATATATAAGTATATTTTATATTTTAATGTATATTAATTCATAGGAAAAAATAGAAGAACTTAAAAAACAAAAATCTCAACTTACTCATCAAGTTTTTATGGTAGCAGCAGAAAATCGCCAATTATGGAACAGATTAAGTAAATTAACAAAAACTAATAAATCTTTAGGAAGTCAATTGACAAAAATCTCTGATACGCTTAAACAACATTCTCCAGTACAAGCATCAGACATTGTCTCTTATAGTTTTCGAGGTATTTTTAATTCTACTAAAGAAGATAACAATCAGCAATGTACATTAGTTACAAACAATGGTTTGTTATTAAATATAATTTATTTAAATTTTAAATTTCAATTAAACTTTATATATTAAATTATATAATATTCTAATATATATTTTAATATATAATATTCTAATATAATTTCAATACAGGTGAGAAAGAACAAAGCTTAGAGGAAATATCACTTAGACTTATAAATAGTATTATGTTGGAAAAATCAGATCTTGAACAGCAATATGCAGAGGTAATTGTAAAAAATAATAAAATGAATTAAATTTTATATATTTTAATTATTTCTATTTTATAATTATTTATCTAGATGGTTGAAATGCAAAATAATACTGAATTAGATTTACGAAATATTGGTTTTACTTATCCAGAAGACTCGGATACAGATTTAGAATTATTAAAACAACATGATATTAGATTATCGCAAATGAAAAACAGTTTATTAGCACAACAAATAAAACTAAAAAGAGCATTGCAAAATTTCAAAAAAAAGAAAGAAGGTAAGTAAATAATATTAAAAAATAAAATTATTTTAAAAAAGTTAATTTTAAATATAATTATAGGATTAATGTGTAATAATTGTCGTACAAATGCAAATAAAAAAATGTGTCAAGCAAGTACTCAGTTTAATTTTAATGAAAATATTAAAGAACATAGTGCAACTCAAACCAGTCTCCAAACTTCGAGTTTATCTTTAGAAAAATGTTCCAATTCAACAGATAATACAGACCAAGACAATAAAATTTGCCCATTATGTGGAATGTTTTATGGAAGAACTACTACATTTGCAGATTTCCATGAACATGTTTTAAGTCATTTTAATAAAGATCTATCTGTAGATGGTTTTGAAATTCTTCATTAATGAAAATAGAGGTTATGAACAGCATCTTGATTTTCTAAAATTTTATGTCGTTATATTATTTTATTTTAAAAGCAAGCAATAAATGTAAATATTATGTATTATTATGAAAAATGTATTAATCTTAATAGAATTGAAAATGTTTTTCATTATTGAATTTTATAAATTGTTGATTCAGAAAAGATTTAATATCAAGGAAATAAATATCATATATAAGAAATCATATATAAAAATGATTCAATACAAAAATAGCAAATAATTGTTAACAATATTACACTTATTTTTATGTTGATCAATTACAAAAATAAAAAAAAATTATAATAAGAAATTATATAAGAATAATAACATTTATAATTACAACATTTATAAATATTCTAGTACTTTATTTATATGAATTTAAAGAATAAACAAATAATCAGCATATAACATCTTTAAATGACTCCAATTATAATTTTATATTTTAATCTTATATTTTTTGTCCAACTAATAGAGTTCATATGAAAGAATTTCAGAAAATATTTTTCTAAAATACAGAATGATATATTCTAAATATTATAAATTTAGAAATAATTTTATAAATATAATAATCTGTTATAATGTTTAATGAAATAAATTTTGCATTATATATATAATATAGTTATATATAATATATAATTTAAACTTTTTATTATATTTTAATTATATATTACATAAAAATATTCATATAAATGGAATCATATTCAATGATAATTGAGATAATAGGAGAAAAAAAATTTTCTCATTAAGAAGATAGAATTTAAATGATCAAGCATTTTGTCCATATAAATGAAGTTTCATTAGTTTCTAAAAGTTTACAATTACAACATAGAATTTTATTTATATCTGATGTAATCTATTAATTATCTTTATTACTTTTAACTTTTCTTTCAAATAATCGCAATTTAAATTCGGTAGAATATAAATAAATTCAGTTATTATAATATATATAATAATAATATATATATATATATATATATATATATATATAATATTCATATAATTAAAAAATGTTCATATAATTAAAGTAATATTTGATATTAGATAATAGGAGATCAAGTTTAATGATATAACGGTAAAAATTTTCATTTTGATAAATGGAATTCTACCATAAAAAAAATTAAAATCAATAACTCTTTTTTCTATTATTTAAATTTATTTAATTTAAACAGAGTTTATTAATAAAATAACTATTTAATTATTCTTAATATTTTCTGAAGATTCCAGTTTAAGTTTTTCTTTCTTCGAATCAATTTCTTCTTTTGTTGTTCGTTGAAGTAAATTTGGATTGAACCAATCAGGTCTTTTCTTACGTAATTCTACAATCCTTTGTTTCTGCGTAGAAGTATATAATTATAAATTTGGTAAAAATTATATATTATATTTATATTAATATATAAATTTTGTAAAAATTATATTCTATTTTATGCATATTATTATTATACATTGCTGAAAAGAAGTTTTTTCAAAGAAATTTCTGTTGATTTTAATACATAAAAATACATAAAAATATGTGTATTAAAAATAGAAAAAAATATATCAAGTACTTTATATTAATAAATAAAGTAAAGAGATATTTTGCCTATGTTCTATTTTATGAAATTTCTTTTCAGCATATATAATATATATCAATACCTTCCAAAAATTATCTTCATATTGTTCTTTTTCTCCTTCATATAATACTATAACATCTTGTTCCACAGGTTTTAATCCTAACGAGTCTTGTATAGCTTGTTGCATTATTTCTGTTTCTTTTTTAACTATTTCATAACAATATCCTACAAATTAAAAAAAAATAAAAGTAAAATTATAATTCTTGAATATAATTTATACTGCTAAATAATAATTATATAAATATATATTATATATCTTACCACAAAGAGTACCAGCTTCATAATCATGACCACATTTTCTACACATTAAGATATTAGTTTTAGGAACATGGGGTTTCCAATGTAATTCAGGAATACCAAATCTTCGACAAAGACGTTTTTCGATAGTTCGCCGTTTTTTAGGTACAGCCCATAAAATTGTATTATTTAATATATCTTTTAAAGATTGCCCAGGAAAATTAATAGATTGTACTTGTTTTATAGAATTACATTCAATCACGTATAAATTATCTAAATAAAATATAAATAATATTTGATAGGTAATAAATATAAAAATACATCATATAAATATGTGATAATAATTTTTGATTAATAATTTTTGTTATTTATAAACAATTTAAATTGTAATATTTTAAGAAGGTTAGAAACGATGAAATATTTTTATAAATTTCAAATTATTTTTAATTTTTCCATATAATTAAATATAATAAAAAAAATTTTTTTTATTACTTGGAAAATTGCGTCCTAAAATAATATTAATTATTTGATCAAATGTTTTAAATGCTTGGTATAACGTATTAAAAATATTATTCGCCATGTTTAAAATATATCATAAAACATAGCAAATAATATAGAATGAAATCTTTGTTAACATTAAGGGTAATTCTTATATATTTATTATATTATATTAAAAAAATTAATGAAATACAATATTATTTATTTAATTTTTATGTAATTTTGTTTCATAATATTTTATAAGTTATTATTTTACAAATTAAATTTTATATTTTCTAATATACTATAAAATTATTATTATGAAACATAATCAAAGTTGTTAATATAAAAATTAAAAAAAATGTTATCTAAAATATTCTAATTCATAACTATTTTAAATTATAACTATGAATAATTCTATGAATAATTTCTAACTATGAATATTAATTATAATAATTATTTAAGTAAAATAAATATTTTAAAAATAAATGTAATATATATATATATATATATATATATATATATATATATATATATATATGAATTAGATGTCGCTAATAGACTTTTTTAATATTTCTGATAATCTATTGTCTTTGAAAATATTTAGTGGTTAAACTAATTTATGATTTATAGTATTGTTCTTACTAATGCCGTGTACAGCGGATGTATTTACAGGTAGGGACGGGAAAGGGAAAAGTGAGTGGGGAAGTGATTTTGAACTATCGGTGGGGCTAGTAGAACTCGAAAGTCTTTACAAGTCGTATGACTCGGTTCACTACAGTTTTCGCTATGGCGTGTATAGGATCGAGTAGGTTCTGTGCTCGTGCAGAAAAACTGTGCCAGTTTAAACATTTTGCCCAATTACGAAAGAAAATTTCAACATGTGTCAAGTCAGGAACTATAATCGAACATTATACAAATAATTTCGTTCAATATTGTCAGGTATGTTAATTTTATTTATTGGTATTGTTATGATTTATGAAAAATATATATAATCAATACAATTACAACACAAAAGAAATTATTTTTATATTTCCACAATATCAATATTTTGCAATACAAACATAAAATCTTATTATTCCATTCACTTTCAATCAAATATTATGAATTATTCCTCTATAACTAATAACATAACCTACCATTCTTTTCGCATGTAAAAATTTGTAGTGTTATACTTATGTTTTATAATTTATTATGTTAATTTTTATATATAGATACAAAAAACAAAACAGTTAATAATAAAATGCACAAAAGAAGAATATTAATTAATCTTATAAGTTTCATAAATTATATAATGTCTAGTAAAATGCGATAGTAAATCGTGTTTCTTAATCATGAAATGTAAGTTTCAAATATTAAAAAAATATATATATATATATTTTGTATATATATTTTTATTTTTATGATATGAATGTATTTCTTAAAACGATAACAAACATGTAGAATGTCACAAATAAAATTTAAAAACCATGTTTTCATGCAACTGAGCTGTCAGCTGTTTCTAGCAGACGACTTAGCTGCCGTCTGCTGCTGACGTTGGTCATGTTATAACTATTAGATACTTTCAGTTTAAAGAAGTTAATAATTTTTTATAAAAGTATTATAAATAATTATATTTTGAATTATAATTTTATACGTTTATAACAATATGATATGATTATGTTTATAATATTGTTTAAACTTTATACTGATTGTACGAGCGGCATGTAATCATTAAACGCATGCGCGGTATATAAATTTGAATTTATTCTTAATATTTTGTATACGAAATTCAATCATTGAAAATTATAAATTATATTAAATACTATAAAAATAAATTATTATTTAAAATTAATAATGATATTAATAATAATTTCTTTATATGAAAAATAGTTTATATTAAATATAAATATAACATATATAATATTATAGTATTAATATTGTTCTATTAAAATATTAATTATTAATTTAATTTTTGAGCAAAAAAAATTTTTGCTCATCTTTCAATTTCTAAATACAAACAGTTTCTAACGAAAGTTTTCCATAAATCATTCTGCGAACGACAAAATGCACGACTTTCTCTGTTCGAAAGTGACACAGAGACCGGATTTTGAAATCTCTTTCAATAGCTCACAAATCGAAGACATGAGTTCGGCACATCAGCTAGTAATCGTTTCCAAGTTATTACGCAAGTCTTAGGTAAATGATAGCTCACTATTTGGACGTTAATCATAAAGAACCTTTTTTTGTATTTCATTAAATGATGGCCAAATATTATCGAAATAAGTTAGAACTGGTTATGATAACGATGAATTTTAAGTCTCGTAAGTAGGTTAACTGGTCCGTGAGATATTCTCCTTCTATGGTTAATCTATAGAATCCACGTTCTTGACTTTCTCGGCTTATTTAGTTGTACTCAGCGTATAAATGCATATACATGATTATTGATCCTTCAATTAAAAGTTTTATAACTTTCATACAATAAAATAGTTTTTAAAATATTTTAAAATTTAAGTAATTAATAAATTACATATTTATCAAATATTCGTTAACTTTTCTATTATTATAGAAATAATTATTACAATATTAAAGAAAAAATATAATTGAAAATATTTTCTTTATTATTATTTTAACAATGTTTATTTTTATATTGTAAAATTTATGTTATAATTGTATTAAATTATATTATAAATATATATACATAATTATTTAAATATTATAAATTATATAAATGAATGTTTTATATATACTTGAATTATATATATTAATTTTATATCTTTATTGTAAATAATAAATTATTTTATTATAAATAATAATTAATTAATAATTGTTTTAAATAAAAAAATTAAAAAAGTAATTTTAGAAATTTAATAAATTTTTTTATTTTGCAAAATGTATTTTTTCAATAATCCATTTTGTTATAATATGTTATAATTTATAGTTATAATGTAAAAATAATGTGAAAATATATCAGTGAAAATAAACAGTTTATCGTTAATGTCATCAAATATTGCTTTATTATTTCAAATCGTATAGATTATAGGATTACAAACTTTTCTAATGCAAATGTAAGGTCATTAACACTGTTTCAATTTGCAAATCCTATTTCCCAATCGTCATCACTCTCCATATCTCGTATAATAAGAGAGATTTCTTTCATTGACGCACAGTGTCTGTGCACAACATTCCACTCTCGTGAATATTGCACGTGTGTACGCACGCATAAGAATGCATGAATAATTTTACAATGCAGTTATTGTTAAATTACTGCGTACTGTATTCGATGAGGTATATCATAAATTAACATAGAAAATCTGCGTAAACGTTTTTGGATTGTTCGGCCTAATTTTAAACACATTATTAATTAATCATGATAAATTATATATTATGTGAAAATGTCAATGGATAAGTGATAAAAAAATTTGAATATTTGCAAAAATGAAATAAATATAAAAAATGATACATAAGAAAAATATATAGAAAATTTTATTAAGATTTTAAGAATATATAAACAAATATTAATATTTTAATATATATACACTTTTATCAGGTAACAAATTTTATTAATTGTATTATTTTTTTATGTCTTTCATATTATAAAAAAAAATATAAAATAGAATTATTTGAAATTAGAATTATTTTATTTCTATATTTTCTTTTTGAAATATGTATATATATCATATTCAAATTATATAAATTGTATTTAAATCTTTATTTTTACAAATAAGAAAGAGATTGAACACATATAGTCAAAAAATATCAATATAATCAATAAATATTTAAATTTAGTTTTTTTGAAAATTATTTTTAAATGAGAAAGATTTATTTCATATTTTTTGTTTATTTTAATTTGTAGAATTATCTTTTATGAATATTTTTATACTGGTTATTTGTATTTAATATACAGATTATACAGGTTATTTGTATAATTTTTAATCGAAATTTTTAAATTTTTTTTTCAAATTGATTTAAATCTTAAATGAAAAAATTTTATTTTTTCTTTTCGATTAATTTTTTTATAAAAAAATCATCTTCTTTCTGATTATACCACTAATAATAATTCTTACAATATTTTATAATTTATATAATTAATATATTGGATATATATTTGATATATATTGGATATATATTGGATATATATTTATTTATTGAAACTCGTTATAGTTTATTCTATACACTTATCCTATTTTCGAATGATATTATTCATTTTTAGTATTATATTATTATATTAATAATTTTCTTCTTTTGAAATATACGAATTAAAATTGCCAGAAAATTTCAATTGTAAGATAATTTAATTTGTCAAAATTTTAACGATTTTCTAAATGTGTGTACATTTATTACTTTTTTTTTTTTTAATCTTTAAAAAAATTTTTTTTAATATATTTCATATTGTTACAATTTTTAATTTTATAATATAATTTATAATTATATTTTCATATATTAATAAATAATACGCGTCATGTCATTTTTTTCAATGTTACATATAGCTACTTTAGGATGTTTCACATCTCTGCTTCTCTTTTAAGGTACAGTTAGAGTTATTTATTCAAAGTTATGTATATTATATTTTATCACATTGAATATTTTTTACTATGATTTTTTTTTGTAAAGCATTCATCAAGACTAAACGCGTTCATATATTATATATGTATGCAGTACATTTATAACATTTTTTACTGTACGAAGATCTTTTTGCATCTTTTTTAATTTTTATTTGTTTTTAAATTAGTATTCATCTACTTTCTACTCTTCTTCTTCTAAAGTGATAGAGTTGTCATATAAATATTTAATGTATAATAAGATTTCCTATAACACGAAGAAAAATATTTTACAGATTTTATTATAGAAAATCAAGAACGTAAAATGTTAGATAAATTATGTAAAATTATATAAAGAAAAAATTTTTTAATATAATAGAAAATAATATTTTTTTTATTTTATTTTAAAATAATAAGAATGTAAAAATTTGTCATTATATATAAATAATGTACATAATATATATATATATATATATATATATATATAATTTGTTATTATATATATAGAATAATTTATAATAAAAAGACAAATAATATTATATTTTAATCGTTGTTAGAAAATCGTTTAATCATTCTACCGATATTGTTTTTTGAACGCAGATTTAGT